CAGTTTTATTTTAACACTTTTTGTAGTGTTAATATTGTGCACAGTGCATCACAGGCATATTAAAATGAAAAATGCCCATCATAGTGAAGTGCTTCACAGGCATATCAGAATGAAATCAGTGCATCACAGACGCATCACAGTGAAATCAGTGCATCACAGACGCATCACAGTGAAATCAGTGCATCACAGGCGCATCAGAATGAAATCAGTGCATCAGAATGAAATCAGTGCATCACAGGCGCATCAGAATGAAAACAGTGCATCACAGGCACCTCAGTACATGTACTATATGAGAACAAGAGTATTTGCAGAGTTGCTATTTAACACAAGTGGAAGTCCTCCTAAGACTAGGTATGCAATTTTCTTGACAAAGTTGCCAATATTCTGACCATTACTCAATCATGTCAAACAAAGGAACAACAAAGGCTCTCATCAGCACCATAAGCACTTTGAAGAACAAAAGGCTTAACATTTCAGATCATCAACTTTGACAACTTTGTCATCAACACCATCAAACACAGTGAATGCATGGTAATGTATGCAACTTGTCCAGCAATAGGTATACAATATTGTCAACCATAATGATCTTAGTAATTTTTTAAAAGACTGGCATTTCATGCTCCATCTTACTGCAAACTAACAGTCCCTCTCTGTACTCCGTGCCATCCATCTTAACCCAGCTGGTAGAGTAAATGGCTTTCTGCATAGTGACCTGAAGTGATGCTGCCAACTCCTCACCACCAGTAAAATCACTCAGGGAAAATGCTTTCATCGGTCCATACTCAGTATGTCGCAATGGTGATGTCTCCCAGTGATGGCCTATAGCAAATTGGTAGTTTTTGGCAAGGGACATAGTAATGTTCTTGAAGTTTTGAGGGTGTTCTTAAAGAGTTTGTGCTTTGCCTCAAACCTCATGCTCCTCATATGTAATAAAGGACCGATTTTGTCTTATGCATGCTGGGTAATGTATCATAAAGTGATGTTTGGATAACGTTTTTATGTGGGTACAACTGTTTGAAAAGTGTGTGATGTTCAATTATTAAATGCTTCAGATACACAGTCATGCCCTGGCTAAGAAAAGGGGGAAAAAAAATGTTGATTATTTGCAGTAAGATGAGCAGCAAATTCCAGCTCTCATTTCCTGGTGGAAGAACATAACCCAAAATCAAGGGAACGTTTCTGACAAGACAGAGTTTGAATATAATTAAGTGCTATGCTATTTCCACTGTTCTCTAGGTTGACTTTAGTTGGACGTTTTCTTCACTCCAAGTACCCATAGTCAAACGAATAGATTCTAGAGAGAAGCGCACATTTCAAAATACAATTTTCAGAGACATATTCAAACAACAATTTTAAATCAAACTGAGCCACCCCTTCAAGAATGTCATGCATTATGTCCACAGAAAAATGACTACAAACATTGATGTGGGTATCCCGGTTTTAAGTAGGTTGTAGTTTTTTCTTTACACCATACACAAATGGGAGCTGTTGGGCTGATTGCAACTGATTCAAATGCATTTCAAAGTGTTTTGCTTGGTAGAGATCAATCTTACAGTCATCCTCACTGTAAACCGTCTGAGCATTAGACTTTTCTATCAAACAGAACCGGCAAAAGTAATGACCACTGAAGGACTCTGTTAAACCAAGGACTGCATGCATCCCCAAATTGTCTCCAGTTATTTGCCAGTTGAAAAAGGCAAATTTACACCATCACTCACCAGTTTTTTTAACATCATTAACCAAGGGCTCTAGAATGGCATCAAATACATTTTGTTTAGATCTTGATAATGAAATAATGACACTAAATTAATATTCATCACAACAGAGTTAAAGTTGGGTCACAGATTCCTGAGGACAAAATAAATGGTGCCAATCTTGTGAACACCACGCTTCGATCCAAGCGGGTTGGCAGTTTCAAAGTCATCATAGTACAATTGGATCTGTAAAGCATTTATATGTTTTGAGAACAAGGGATGAGTCTTAAAGTAACTTCCATCACAAAAGTCTTCATAAGTGTCTTCCACAGATGTATCCCTAGGTGCATTTTCCAATAACTTACAGATTTCAGAATTACGACACATTAACATATGTTTCCAGTATAGGAAGATATACAAAAGTGTCTTTCACTGGTACTTGTTCATACATGCCAGTTTGTTTATTTGCCTGTTATCATATCTAACTCCCAACACTACTTCTACTGGCTCCACAACACCCCATTTTTGGTTGAAATACTTTGTTCTATTGGTTTCTGTGTTAAAAATGGCAAATGGGTTTTCAAAGTACTCAAAACTATCCTTTACAGCAGATGTAGAGGGGTTATCCATAGGCATAAATGACAGAACATCTTGTTTAATTTGGGAGTGCAGCCCAGTAGTAAGCTCTTTTAAATCACACACTACTGTTGACGCAACACTATTTGCAACACCACTAGCTTGCAACTTGGCAATGGAGGCACACATATCTTTAGCAAGACTGTCCATTCTTCTCAAAACAATCACTTTGAGTGTTATTTGGGACACCAATGTCGCCACCCATTTGTGGAGCTTCTGACTGGACAGGAGAATCGGCAACATGAGAGGGCCCTTCTAAGCTTAATGCATCTACTACTTGACAGATATCCTTATGAATACTATTCAAATGTTTTCTGAAACCTGAGTATGTTGAACTGCCATCTACAACTATCTTGAGCACAGACCAATCTAAACTTGGTGGAGGGATAGAAGCTATGCTTAATTCTCAAATGAGATATCAATGACTGACTGTTTCTGTGCAATGCTTGACATCAAAAGCACCGTAACATATATTTATCTAGTTAAGAAGTTTTGTCCTCAACTCTATCACGCTAGGGGCCTTTCTTGTTTTGCCTACATCAATGTTGTAGATGGTTGACTGCACAAATGTGTAGAAGTTGACGAGCATCATCATACATCAGGTTAAAGACAAAAGTGGGCTTTGAACAGTTCATCAAAACGCACACAGACCACTAGTTGCCTGGCAGGGAACAAGCCTCTTGTCCACCACGATGTAGTAGTTGTCAAACTTGCTCTCTTCTTCCGACGGCAAGGAGGTATGGCTGTCGACCATGGCTCCCATCAAGATGGTCTTCAATGCTGCAGCATGACTGCAACACAAAGGGTCTTTTTAAGTCAATCTTCACATGTTAAGACAATGAAGAGACAACCCAAAAAATTAATCACAACAATTACTGTATCATCTTACCTTATGAAAGTGCACTATCTGCCCACAGCATCACTGGCACTGATCTTGGTCCTCTTCCCTCCTGCTGGTGGTGGGAGGAGATGAAGCAGCAGCAGCGGGGAGGACATTTCATTTCTCGGTCTGAGGGCGAATCACATACAGTGGGGGAAAAAAGTATTTAGTCAGCCACCAATTGTGCAAATTCTCCCACTTAAAAAGATGAGAGGCCTGTAATTTTCATCATAGGTACACGTCAACTATGACAGACAAATTAGAAAAAAATATCCAGAAAATCACATTGTAGGATTTTTTATGAATTTATTTGCAAATTATGGTGGAAAATAAGAATTTGGTCAATAACAAAAGTTTCTCAATACTTTGTTATATACCCTTTGTTGGCAATGACACAAGTCAAACGTTTTCTGTAAGTCTTCACAAGGTTTTCACACACTGTTGCTGGTATTTTGGCCCATTCCTCCTCTAGAGCAGTGATGTTTTGGGGCTGTCGCTGGGCAACACAGACTTTCAACTCCCTCCAAAGATTTTCTATGGGGTTGAGATCTGGAGACTGGCTAGGCCACTCCAGGACCTTGAAATGCTTCTTACGAAGCCAATCCTTCGTTGCCCGGGCGGTGTGTTTGGGATCATTGTCATGCTGAAAGACCCAGCCACATTTCATCTTCAATGCCCTTGCTGATGGAAGGAGGTTTTCACTCAAAATCTCACGATACATATCCCCATTCATTCTTTCCTTTACACGGATCAGTCGTCCTGGTCCCTATGCAGAAAAACAGCCCCAAAGCATGATGTTTCCACCCCCATGCTTCACAGTAGGTATGGTGTTCTTTGGATGCAACTCAGCATTCTTTGTCCTCCAAACACGACGAGTTGAGTTTTTACCAAAAAGTTATATTTTGGTTTCATCTGACCATATGACATTCTCCCAATCCTCTTCTGGATCATCCAAATGCACTCTAGCAAACTTCAGACGGGCCTGGACATGTACTGGCTTAAGCAGGGGGACACGTCTGGCACTGCAGGATTTGAGTCCCTGGCGGCGTAGTGTGTTACTGATGGTAGGCTTTTTTACTTTGGTCCCAGCTCTCTGCAGGTCATTCACTAGGTCCCCCCGTGTGGTTCTGGGATTTTTGCTCACCGTTCTTGTGATCATTTTGACCCCACAGGGTGAGATCTTGCGTGGAGCCCCAGATCAAGGGAGATTATCAGTGGTCTTGTATGTCTTCCATTTCCTAATAATTGCTCCCACAGTTGATTTCTTCAAACCAAGCTGCTTGCCTATTGCAGATTCAGTTTTCCCAGCCTGGTGCAGGTCTACAATTTTGTTTCTGGTGTCCTTTGACAGCTCTTTGGTCTTGGCCATAGTGGAGTTTGGAGCGTGACTGTTTGAGGTTGTGGACAGGTGTCTTTTATACTGATAACAAGTTCAAACAGGTGCCATTAATACAGGTAACGAGTGGAGGACAGAGGAGCCTCTTAAAGAAGAAGTTACAGGTCTGTGAGAGCCAGAAATCTTGCTTGTTTGTAGGTGACCAAATACTTATTTTCCACCATAATTTGCAAATAAATTCATTAAAAATCCTACAATGTGATTTTCTGGAGAAAAGGAATCTCAATTTGTCTGTCATAGTTGACGTGTACCTATGATGAAAATTACAGGCCTCTCTCATTTTAAGTGGGAGAACTTGCACAATTGGTGGCTGACTAAATACATTTTTTCCCCACTGTAAAACAATATTGCTGAGTTTGAAACATTGCACTACCCATGAGAGAATCCACTTACTGGTTTCACTGTCATTCTCTGGCAGTTTTTCTGCAGACTTCAGGAGGCGACGCAAATCGGTGGTCGTAGTCAGGGATCTTGCCAGTTTGACTTTAGGCTTCAATACAGTGTCCCACTTTTCAAGGAGCTTAGAAGATGTTTCATTGTCGAACATCAGCAAAAAGTCCTGATTCACCTAAAACAAAGTGGATCAACTCAACTTCATTACCAACACAAAATCATCTCATCTCAATCAGACAAATAGTATGTAGTTCTGATTCCAATACATACTACATCACACATCAATCCTTTGATGTCCAGAAACCTGGGAAGGACTGTGAGGACATTTGTGCTTCTGTCTGGACTATAAACTAGCTCCTGGCGATACTGGAACAACTCCATCTTCTGATAGATTTGTTTTTCATCGGCCGAGTGAACAAGGAATGATATGGCCTCCTTGAAAGCATCACCAACAAGCTGGTGTCCAGGTCAGTCTTCCTCCTATGGGTTGGGCCTCCTGACTGGGGTGAAATACTCTTCTTGATGGATCGACGTGAGGTCTTCCTTGATACTGTCTTCAGGCGATAATTCAGATATCCTTTACCTGTGTCAGGATCATAGAAGTGTTCCTTAGATAGGTGACCAACATTGTAGTCAAATGGTTATTATTTTTAGACTTGATTCTATGACTGTTTGATGCCCCTTTCAGTCCACAAAACAAGTGTCAAAGTATTAAAGCAAGCATGCTCTACCAGCACTTACATAGCCTTTGGCGGAAAAGGGATCTTTCAATGGAGGAAAGAGGATCACAATTCCAAGAGCATAACGTTATCTCTGTTGACGAGTGGGAAGCCTTCTGCTCAAAAACAGTAAAGCATACACACGCCAAATATGTTTAACCAACGTTTTGTTGATGAAGGTACTATATCTTCCTACAGTTTCATAATGATGCCACATTTTTGTCATTTTAGCAGACGCTCTTATCCAGAGCGATACATTTTTCATACTGGCCCCCCGTGGGAATCGAACCCACAACCTTGGCGTTGCAAACGCCATGCTCTACCAACTGAGCTACAGAAGGCTTAAATAACATGAATGTATAGTTTGATTGTTTTGATCCATTGGTTGTGGCCAGATTGGCTAATGAGAAGCTTACCAATGCATCTCTCATGTGGCTGACTAAGATGGCAGTCATCTCTCTCCTGGTTCTGTGGTCCAATGTTTTGATTGTCTGGTACTCTTCTAATACGTCTTGCACACCAGGTCTACTAGTCAGGGCATCTCGGACCATCTATTAAGACAAGAGAAAAGTTAAACAATTTAGGGATGGTTTATGCTGTCGGAATCTCCATGAAGAGCAAACACAGAAATGGTATTATCAACATCCAATATCAGTTATCATTATTCCTCTTTTGCTGCTGCGGAGTCGTTGGCCTTTTTAGACGGTCTTTCTGGAGATCTCAGGTCTAAATCACTTGACGAGAGGGATAATGTGCACAAACTAGGTGTCGAACAATCTGCAGGAGAAAAGTCTGAGCACAAACAATGGATCAAAGCATTCAATCTATACATTCATGTTATTTGATATCATTACATGAGACTGTAGAAAGATACCTTCATCAAGATCTTTGTGAGGCACAGGTCTGGATTGGTCTCAATCAGGTCCAGCAGGACATTCTCCTCCACCTCAATTTGGGAATCATCAAACATTTGTATTTGTGCTGCAGAGGGCAGTCCAAACCTATTTTGGACTACAAAAAAGAGAGACTAGTCAGAATACAGGGAGATAAGCCACCTAGGGGGCAACAGAATGGGTCTGACCCAAATCAAGCCCAAGGGTTCAATTTAGAAAATACATCAGACAGTTCATATATTCACCTTGATTGCTGAGAACCCAGGCTGCAACTTCATGAACTTCTTGCATTTTTGGCATTGGACCTTCACCAACATGTTACACTGCACTCCTGCAAAATGCAAGCACACACAATGTCATATTTAAGTTACATTTGGTTGAAAACATTTTATGGTGTAGCTGTACATATAGAAACAATCACAAAATGACCCCCTTATACACCCTCCCCTTTGTCTTCCCTGCAGTGGATCAACCATTTGTTCCAAATGCCACTTTAATGATATAACAGGTGTCCGCCTGCCTGCGGATCTGGGGCTTGGCAAGGCAATATTCCAGTGAAATCAACCAACTCAACTACCTAGCTATCTATCTAGCTACAAACAGTTACCACCACCACTCAAATCTATAGGAAAGAAACTGGCCAAAACATTTCAAGCCATATTGGCTTGAACACAATGTCTGATCTGTGATTAACATGTCTATGGTGTGTGCTTGTTGTTAGTCTAAATGACAGAGGACAACCCTATCACGTCTGGCCACATGCACTAGCTAGCTAGCTAACATTAGCGCTAAGTTACAAGATGTTGAGGTCTGTGTTGTAGCTAGCTATATAGCTAGCTACAGTGAGGGAAAAAAGTATTTGATCCGCTGCTGATTTTGTACGTTTGCCCACTCACAAAGACCTGATCAGTCTATAATTTTAATGGTAGGTTTATTTGAACAGTGAGGCAGAATTACAACAAAATTTTCCAGAAAAACGCATGTAAAAAATGTTATAAATTGAATTGCATTTTAATGAGGGGAATAAGTATTTGACCCCTCTGCAAAACATGACTTAGTACTTGGTGGCAAAACCCTTGTTGGCAATCACAGAGGTCAGACGTTTCTTGTAGTTGGCCACCAGGTTTGCACACATCTCAGGAGGGATTTTGTCCCACTCCTCTTTGCAGATCTTCTCCGAGTCATTAAGGTTTCGAGGCTGACGTTTGGCAACTCAAACCTTCAGCTCCCTCCACAGATTTTCTATGGGATTAAGGTCTGGAGACTGGTTAGGCCACTCCAGGACCTTAATGTGCTTCTTCTTGAGCCACTCCTTTGTTGCCTTGGCCGTGTGTTTTGGGTCATTGTCATGCTGGAATACCCATCCACGACCCATTTTCAATGCCCTGGCTGAGGGAAGGAGGTTCTCACCCAAGATTTGACGGTACATGGCCCCGTCCATTGTCCCTTTGATGCGGTGAAATTGTCCTGTCCCCTTAGCAGAAAAACACCCCCAAAGCATAATGTTTCCACCTCCATGTTTGACGGTGGGGATGGTGTTCTTGGGGTCATAGGCAGCATTCCTCCTCCTCCAAACACGGCGAGTTGAGTTGATGCCAAAGAGCTCCATTTTGGTCTCATCTGACCACAACACTTTCACCCAGTTCTCCTCTGAATCATTCAGATATTCATTGGCAAACTTCAGACGGGCATGTATATGTGCTTTCTTGAGCAGGGGGACCTTGCTGGTGCTGCAGGATTTCAGTCCTTCATGGTGTAGTGTGTTACTAATTGTTTTCTTGGTGACTATGGTCCCAGCTGCCTTGAGATCATTGACAAGATCCTCCCGTGTAGTTCTGGGCTGATTCCTCACCGTTCTCATGATCATTGCAACTCCACGAGGTGAGATCTTGCATGGAGCTCCAGGCCGAGGGAGATTGACAGTTATTTTGTGTTTCTTCCATTTGCGAATAATCGCACAAACTGTTGTCACCTTCTCACCAAGCTGCTTGGCGATGGTCTTGTAGCCCATTCCAGCCTTGTGTAGGTCTACAATCTTGTCCCTGACATCCTTGGAGAGCTCTTTGGTCTTGGCCATGTTGGAGAGTTTGGAATCTGATTGATTGATTGCTTCTGTGGACAGGTGTCTTTTATATAGGTAACAGGCTGAGATTAGGAGCACTCCCTTTAAGAGTGTGCTCCTAATCTCAGCTCGTTACCTGTATAAAAGACACCTGGGATCCAGAAATCTTTCTGATTGAGAGGGGGTCAAATACCTATTTCCATCATTAAAATGCAAATCAATTTATAACATTTTTGACATGCGTTTTTCTGGATTTTTTGTTGTTATTCTGTCTCTCACTGTTCACATAAACCTACCATTAAAATTATATACTGATTATTTCTTTGTCAGTGGGCAAACATACAAAATCAGCAGGGGATCAAATACTTTTTTCCCTCACTGTATGCTGTCTGCCATCTGCCCGGTACAGTTGAAACCGGGATTCATCCGTGAAGAGCACACTTCTCCAGCTTGCCAGTAGCCATCGAAGGTGAGCGTATGCCCACTAAAGTCGGTTACGATGCCGAACTGCATTCAGGTCAAGACCCTGGTGAGGACGACGAGCACACAGATGAGCTTCCCTGAAACGGTTTCTGACAGTTGGTGTAGAAATTATTCGGTTGTGCATACCCACAGTTTCATCAGCTGTCCGCGTGGCTGGTCTCAGACGATCCCGCAGGTGAAGAAGACGGATGTAGAGGTCATGGTTACATGTGGTCTGTGGTTGTGAGGCCGGTTGGCTGTACTGCCAAATTCTCTAAAAGTACGTTGGGTGCGGCTTATGGTAGAGAAATTAACATTAAAATACCTGGCAACAGTTCTGGTGGACATTCCTGCTGTCAGCATGCCAATTGCATGCTCACTCAGAACTTGAGACATCTGTGGCAAGGTGCACTTGTAATGATCATGGTGTTTAATCCTCTTCTTGATATGCCACACAGGTGGATAGATTATCTTGGAAAATGAGAAATGCTCACTAACAGGGATGTCAACTAATTTGTTTTCAACATTTTTGAGAAATAAGCTATTCGTGCATATGGAACATTTCAGTGAACTTTTATTTCAGTTCATGAAACATGGAACCAACACTTTACATGTTGCGTTTAGATTTCTGTTCAGTATATGTTTGGTTGTACCAGCACCTCGTTGTTTGACTCTGCACTTGGTTTCTTACTTCGCTCCTCTCTGGTCTGTGGAATCTGACTTTGCGGCTGTGTTTCCTAGTGGAAACCCTCCTCTCCTGCCTGCCTGGTGGCCTGCATCATGGGAGAGCAAACACAAATGTTCATGGAAAACAAGCTATTTGTTAATAAAAGCAGTTAATAAAAGCATTTTAGTTGTCTTCTAAAGCTAGCTAGAATGATCCAATATAAACAAAACTAGTAACGTTAGCTTTAGAGTAGCCTAGCTAGATAGCTAGCTAGTTAGTATTAGCTAGCTAGGTTGATACAATCATGCAGCTAGCAGCTAACGTTAATAATTTACTCACTGAAGAAAAGTTTGGCACAAGATAAAGAAGATTAAACAATCTGCTGCTGCTACCCAAGGCCAAGGGATGCTGAATGAAAAAGTTAGTCATGACTATTCTGGCACCGACGAAGATGGCGGCCTCACAACTAGCTCTTAGGAAACTTTGCGGTATTTGTTTTTTTATGTATTATTTTTTACATTATTAGCTCAGTGTATTGTATCATTACATAGAGCCGGGAAAAACTATTGGATATCAGAGCGGCGGTAACTCACCAGCATTACGACCAGGAATATTACTTTTCCAAAGCAGATCCTTTGTTTACTCTCCCCAGGGCAATTACATTTTATATTTTACATTTTAGTCATTTAGCAGACGCTCTTATCCAGAGCGACTTACAGTTTTTTTTTCATACTGGCCCCCCGTGGGAAACGAACCCACAACCCTGGCGTTGCAAGCGCCATGCTCAACCAACTGCGCTACACAGGGCCTACACAATTAAACTGATTCCAGCGGCTGACCCAAAACATTGCCGGCGGAGGAGAGGCACTCGGAGCGGCCTGCTGGTTCGACATAGGAGGTGTGCACACCACCCACCGCTTCCAAGTATACTACTCGTTAATGTTCAGTCTCTGGTTAACAAGGTCAACGAGCTCCGGGCAATGATTTCTTTCCAGAGAGACATCAAGGCCTGTAACATACTTTGTTTCACGGAAACATGGCTCTCTGGAGATATTCTGTAGAAATCGGTCCAGCCAGATGGGTTCTCAGTTCATCGCGCAGACAGGAATAAAGGGCGGAGGTGTATGTTTCATGATTAACGACTCTTGGTGTAATTGTAGTAATATACAGGAACTCAAGTCCTTTTGTTCACCCAACCTAGAGTACCTCACAATCAAATGCCGACCGTACTATCTCCCAAGATAGTTTTATTTGGTTATAGTCACGGCCGTGTATATCCCCCCTCAGCCGATACCACAACGGCCCTCAAAGAACTTCACTGGACTTTATGCAAACTGGAAACCACATATCCTGAGGCTGCATTTATTGTAGCCGGGGATTTTAACAAAGCAAATTTGAGGACTAGGCTGCCGAAGTTCTATCAACATATCGACTGTTGTACTCGTGCTGCTAAAATCCTTGGCCATAGCTATTCGAACTTCCGGGATGGTTATAAGGCCCTCCCCCGCCTTCCTTTCGCCAAATCTGACCACGACTCCATTTTGCTCCTCCCTTCATATAGGCAGAAACTCAAACAGGAAGTACCCATGCTAAGGACTATTCAACGCTGGTCTGACCAATCGGAATCCACACTTCAAGATAGTTTTGATCACACGGACTGGGATATGTTCCGGGTAGCTTGCGAAAATAATTTAGACTAATACATTGAAACGGTGACTGAGTTTATCAGGAAGTGTATAGGTGATGTTGTGCACACTGTGACTATTAAAACCTACCCTAACCAGAAACCGTGGATAGATGGCAGCATTCGCGCAAAACTGAAAGTGCGAACCACCACATTTAACCATGGCAAGGTGACTGGGAATATGGCAGAATACAAACAGTGT